ACAACACGGAGTACACGATAACAGGGGGGCGGTAACCACAGGTAAGAGCACGATTGGCTGCGCGGGGTGACGTCACCCTGGGCCTTTGAAGTTTAGAGAATAAAATAGGTTCCCTGGGACGATTAGGTCAGTTGTCTTCAACCTCCAGGCCGTCGAGACCCACTGCCGTCATGCCTCTTCGAGCCACTCACAGCATCCGTGTGATGCCAGCGAGTGCTGCTGGAGACAGTGATAGGTTAAGTTTTCTCTCGTTCTTCTCCCTCTGACTCTCCCAGCGTCCGTGGGACACCGTGAGCAAACAAAAGATCCAGGTCCGATTCAACATAGTACATAAAATTCGTGATCTGATCCCATCTGTCAAGGATGCGATCCCTGACATGCAAAACCCCGGTGTCTACAAACTATTCTTAGGTTTTTTCGGTAAAGTCACGTAGGTAAAAAATTAAAATTAATAAAGTTAAATAAAATAAAAATCACGACGTTTCGGAGGCAACACAAGCTTCCGTCTTCAGGTGGAACCGTCACAGCCACGACAGCTGATACAGCTGATACAGCTGTCGTGGCTGTGACGGTTCCACCTGAAGACGGAAGCTTGTGTTGCCTCCGAAACGTCGTGATTTTTATTTTATTTTACTTTTATAAATTTAAATTTTTTTACCTACGTGACTTTACCGAAAAAACCTAAGAATATGAATCCTTGCAGTCACGAAAGCTTCAAATCTAGAAATAGTCTACAAACTATGCTGTGCCTGCGGCAGTAGTTACATCGGGGAAACTAAGCGACATGTCTCAGACCGTGTTCGCGAACACAAGGCGGATCTGAAACACGGTGGGACCAACACATTTGCCGTGGCTGATCATTGTTTTCACGCTGTGGGCACACATGAAATTGATTTCTCCAAGACGAAGGTACTATGCAAACCCACTGGCTATCAACAAAGATTTGTTCGTGAAGCTATCCAGATATATAAGCACAGACAGAATTTCAACCGAGAAGATGGGTACAAACTGAGCAATCATTGGAAGGACGTTATTACCCAGGTAAAGTCATAACTGGCTGTGATGCTTCCATCCTACCTGACTATGTTAGCAGTTATTTCCGACTCTTGAGTTACATTACCTTGTTAAATGTCTTTACATTAACAGGCTAAATGTCTAACATAGCTGCTGATGTTCCCTTTTCCTCGATGCGGCGGTGGCGCTCGTTGTTTAATAGTCTGAATGTCTCTCATTAACACAGCCGCTGCTTCGAGAGCCGTCTCACATTGACATGCTAATCTCTAATCTCGAGCAATACAATGGCTTCTTCAGCACCATAGCCGTGGGGTTACATTAACACAGGCATGTCCAAAGTCCGGCCCGCGGGCCAATCACGGCTCGCGGTCAGATTTCATACGGCCCGCAGCTTCAGTCTTATAATGTGTTATTTATGGCTCACTAGCTCTGTCAGAATAAATAAATCATAAAACTTTAAAGATGTTATTCCTCCTTCCGCCAAACGGTGGCAGCACCATTCTAATGCTCTCTGGCTCTGCATCCGTGCCGAGAACCTTTCTCAAATCATTTCTGCCATGGCTACTGCAAAAAAAAAGTTGACAGTGAGGGCCGCCACTTTCAGGAGCGGTGGGAATTACAATACTTCTTCACTGGAAATCAAGGCAATTGTGTTTGTCTAATTTGTAAAGAGACGGATGCCTTGTTTAAGGATTTCAACGTAAAGAGACACTACGAGACTAAACATGCGACAACATACGACAAGCTAACAGGGAGTGACCGCGCTGAAAAAGTGAAGCAACTCCAGGCTGCTCTGGCATCACAACAGCGATTCTTCACGCGGACCTGTGGGTCGAAGGAAAACATCACCAAAGCCAGCTACGAAGTGGCCATGTTAATAGCTAAACATGGCAAACCTTTTACTGAAAGTGCATTTATCAAAGACTGTGTCATGAAAATGGTGGAGAACATTTGCCCCGAGAAGAAGCAAAAATTTATGAATGTTTGCCTGGCACGCAACACTGTGGCACGGAGAGTTGAGGACATATCGTCAGATATTCAGAGACAACTGGGGGACAGGGGAGTGGCTTTTGATTATTTCTCATCAGCCTGCGATGAAAGCACCAATGCATCTGACACTGCACAACTACTTATTTTTTTAAAGAGGAGTTGATGACAACATGAACGTGACAGAGGAGCTGCTTGACCTCAAAAGCCTTAAAGAGCAAACCAGAGGAACATATTTATTTGTTTCTGTTTGTGAAGCTGTTGATGATATGAAACTACCATGGAGTAAAGTTTCTGGGATCATTACCGATGGTGCACCTGCCATAGCTGGTGAGCGAAGTGGATTGTCCACACTGATCTGCAATAAAGTCAGCGAAGAAGCAGGCAACACTTTTAAACTTCAATGTATCATTCACCAGCAGGCTCTCTGCGCCAAACATCTCAAATTTGACGATGTTGTGAAACTAGTGGCAAAGGCAATCAATTCTATTCGCTCTAAAGCTCTATACCACTGACAGTTTCAGCAGTTCTTGCGTGACATCCAGGCTGAATACGGTGACGTAATATATCACAACGATGTGAGGTGGCTAAGTCGGGGGTCCGCACAGCAGCGATTTTTATCTCTCAAAGAGGAAATTGGACATTTTTTGGGTGAGAAGGGACAACCAGTGGAAGAACTGTCCGATCCTGTATGGCTGGCAAATCTGGCTTTTTTGTTTGACATAACGAAGCATCTGAATGCGCTGAATGTTAATCTTCAAGGAAAAGATGCAGTGGTGAGCCAGCTATACGCTCACATCAAGGCCTTTGGAACCAAACTGCAACTTTTCCAAAGACACTTGTCCCAAACAGAGTCCTGCACCGCGCACTTCCCAGCTTTGAAAGAGGTCATTGACAGTTTCCCACAGGACAACATCGGTGCACAAATGAAGAGTTATGCAACAGCTATCACATCTCTTTCTGTGGAATTTAACAAACGCTTTCGGGACTTTGCAGTTATTGAAAAGGACATGTTGCTTTTCTCTTCTCCCTTCTCGTTGGACCCTGATGATACTCCTCCACAGCTGCAGCTGGAGCTCATTGAGTTGCAGTGTGACGATAAGTGCCGCGGAAAACACCAGCAGTGTTCTCTTGTTAACTTTTATCAGCAGCTGGACAAAAGCAGGTTTCCAGAAATGCGGTCATTCGCTAAGAAAATGCTGAGCTTATTCGGCTCCACATATTTGTGTGAGCAAACATTCTCAGTCATGAACTTAAAACAGAACCAATTGAGGTCAATGATGAGTGACTCCCACTTGCATGACATTTTACGCATCTCAACCACTGCCCTCAAGCCAGACCTGGTCTCTTTACTGAAATCTAGATCTCAGTATCACCCTTCTCATTAGTATCAGCAAGTTATCTGTTCCTTGATCAATCTGAAATTGAGTGTTTTGAACGGTAACATCTGTCACTATTAACAGTGAAAAGCCTAAAGCACACTAATGCACTTGGACTTATGGCACTTGTTTTATTAAACTCTTGAATAAGATTTGGTTATAACTGTTGATGTTATGTACCTGTAGATGTGACACAAACTATTGTTTTCTGAAAGATCTTGTAAAAGACAAGGGTAAAATTCACTCGTTTTAAAGTTTAATGATAATAGACCACTTTGCATTACTTATAACTCCTGTTTAAAATGTTCATGAGGTAAAGATATTTAACTCATGGAAATTTAAGGTATTCTATACAGTTTGTTCAATGTTATCTGACTGAATGAAAGGCAGAATTGTGTTTTTAGAGTTGTTCACGTCTGCCTGAGTGACTTATATTTGGTTACATTGTCATTTGAAAAATAAAGGTAATTGTGACAATGATAATTGTTGTATAACAGTGTGTGTTTTCACGTAACTTTTGTGGTAAAAAACATGTTGGAAGGAACTATTGGCCCCCGGGCATCTTCACTTTATCAAATTTGGCCCTCTTTGCAAAAAGTTTGGACACCCCTGCATTAACAGATCGTAATGCTAATCTCTAGCAACACAATAGCCGAGATATACCTCGCTCTGCGATCTTACATTTCCTTGAAAATTCCATCTCTAGCCCCGCCCAGTTACCCTTGGGTTGTACCCATGTCAAACCTTTATAACCTATGGCTGCAGTAGATCTCTCGCTATATTTCTTCCTGCCTCAGCAGTCTGCCTGCTGTACTTTTTCACCTGAAGATGATTGCTTATGTTGCGAAGCGTCGTGATTTTTATTATTATTTTTCCTATCTCCTGACTTTACCGAGAGACCCAAAGAGTATACCCTAAAGCATTAAACAAATGCCAAATTGATGGAGAGACCCAGGGGTCTGGTGTGGTAGCCCTACCTAGCCCATGGACTATTTCTGTACAGGGGCTTGAGATGTAATCACATTTAGACGCGATATAACTGCATACACTGACTCGCATCATACACTGGGAGTGTCATGCTGCCAGCTATGGCTGCACGTTTGTTCGTACATGTTATGTATATCCTTTATTGTTAATTTTTAAATTTGAATCGCAGTTCTTATGATTACTGTTGTTACAGTTTTATAGCTTTATTATGGTGATTTCGAAAACATGGTTAAGCCATGTTTCTTGCGGAAGTGCGGAGTTGGCCTGATAACTTTAATCTAAATTGTCTTATGGTTGTTATTGACTTGCATCACACTGGGATTTTTGCACACAGCGTTGTAATACGGTGGGTTTTTTTTGGAAGATTTGCTGGTTTGTCCAGGATGTTTCTGTTGCGCGTCGTCGCTTTAAGATGTTCTCTGTTCATATTTAGTTTGTTGCGGTTGCACCCGACTCAAGAGCCGCATGGCTCACAGGGCTATACCTAATACATGAAACTTGAAAAAACATTGTACTGTCGCGTCCAGCACATTATGCTGCATCGTGTCGCTCAAATGCGACACGTCGCTGCATCTTGTCGCTATGATGCGACGTACGTTATTGCTACATCTTGTCGCTTGCTGGGCAGTGAATGGGGTGGGGGGAGGTCACTTGCAGACAAAGACGGCAGCCTCGGCTGTTGCAGACACGGAGGAGGACACGGAGAAACGGACAACGCAGACAGAGACACAGACAGCGGGGACAGAGACACGGCCGAGCGTAGCGTCAGTCGCGTGTTGTCTGTCTCCGCACCCGGCAGGGCGCGTCCACGGTGAGCCGAGTGTGGCCCGCGGACACGGCGCCGACTCGAGGCCGACTCGCAGTCTCCGTGGAGACGTCGTCGTAGGGAGAGAGACACACAGAGACACACACAGAGACACACACAGTGACACACACAGTGACAGACACAGTGAGACACACAGAGACACACACAGTGACACACACAGTGACAGACACAGTGACACACACAGTGACAGACACAGAGACACACACAGTGACAGACACAGTGAGACACACAGAGACACACAGTGACACACACAGTGACAGACACAGAGACACACACAGTGACAGACACAGTGACACACACAGTGACAGACACAGTGACACACAGTGACACACACAGTGACAGACACAGAGACACACACAGTGACAGACACAGAGACACACACAGTGACACACACAGTGACAGACACAGAGACACACACAGTGACAGACACAGAGACACACACAGTGACAGACACAGAGACACACACAGTGACAGACACAGAGACACACACAGTGACAGACACAGAGACACACACAGTGACAGACACAGAGACACACACAGTGACAGACACAGAGACACACACAGACACAGTGACACACACAGACACAGTGACAGACACAGAGACACAGTGACACACCCAGTGACAGACACAGTGACACACACAGGCACAGAGACACACAGTGACACACAGACACAGGGACACACACAGACACGGTTACACACAGACAAAGAGACACACAGTGACACACAGAGACACACAGAGACACACACAGTGACAGACACAGTAACACAGACACGTACAGAGACACAGAGACAGTGACACACAGACACGTACAGACACACATAGACAGACACAGTAATACACACAGACACGTACAGAGACAGTGACACACGCAGACAGTGACACACACAGACACGTACAGAGACACACAGACACGTACAGAGACACAGTAAAACACACAGACACGTACAGAGACACAGATACATCAACACACTAATACAGATGTAATACAGAAACGTACATTCATACAGAGGGACAGAAACAGTGAGACGGAGAGAGATGAGGATACGAACTCTGAGATTTGTAGAGAGAAAGATAAACGGATACGACATAGCCACAGATACAGACAAACATACACAAAGACAAAACACAGACAACACAGAGAGATAACAGAGAGGCAGCTGTACATGGATTGACTGGAAGTGTTCTTACGAAGAGGGACACGTCTAACGAGGCCGTAGCAGCGCTACGAGAGAGACACGGAGACGAGAGATCTACAGATAGGGCTGTATGGAGATAGAGACACAGACACTGATGCAGTTGTAGATACGGAGAGATAAGAGGCAGGGACACAAAGGAATAGACAGATACAGAGAGACATAGAAAAGCATAGACATTCATTCTCTGACACCGCATAATCGCATACTCCATCGCATACTTAGCATACGCCGACACAGCATATTCTAATTCTAGATTTTAGGTTTTCGTAACGGCAAGGATCCATACTCTTTGGTTTTTTCGGTAAAGTCACGTAGGTAAAATGTATATATTAATATTCTAAGCCTGTGATTAGCAAATGTTATATCACACTACGTCTGAACAGTTATGCTTATTGTTTTACAGCTGCGTTTACATGATGCTCACTGCCGATGGGACGTCGTTAAGTCAGAATAATCAATAACAATTAATCATCTGCCAAAGACGCGGTAATGATATACTCGGGTCACTTGGAAGATGTGCGTCATGAAACTGCAATGAAAAAGCACCAGGGGAGGCAGCTACCACATCTGCCTCACTGAGGGGGCGTGTCTTGAGCCCACGTGATTGACGCTCGCTCTCCACGTTAGCTAGCTCCAGCAAAAAAATTCCAGCGGCTGCAAAAATGGAAAACGTTATATCTAACCTTAAAAATTTCCAAAAATTGGACTTTCAATCAAAGCAGGGAGTGATAAACAATGGAAGACCAATGCCTGAGCTTGAGGATCTACTTCAAACGAAGGGACAGAAAATAACACGGTCGTTTCAAATGGAGTGGTACCAACGAAAAGACTGGCTGTGTGGTTGTGCTACGAGGAATCGCCTCTACTGCTTTCCCTGCCTTCTGTTCTCCACTACTGACAACGTTTGGACTAACGCGGGATTTTGTGATTTGAAAAATCTACCAAGGAGCCTCAACAAACATGAAAAATCGACAACTCACATTCAAAGCCAAATTGCTTTAAAAACGTTTGGAGCTTCAAGGATAGATCTGGCTTTGATTGAACAGCGGAGATTAAATGTCAGCATCCACAATGCTAAGGTAAAGGAAAACCGTGAGGTTTTAAAAGACCTTATTAATGCGACCTGCTTCCTAGCCAAACAAGACTTAGCATTTTGTGGTAACGATGAGAGTGCAAGCACTTCTAATCGTGGCAACTTTGTGGAACTATTACATGCTTTTGCTGAGAAAGATGAAAAGTTAGCAAGACATTTGGAGACATCCACTGTGTTTTCTGGCTTGTCAAACAGAATACAGAACGATTTAATCGAAGCAGTCGGTGATGTAATTAGAAATGATATCAAAGAGGAGATTCATGCAGCCCCATTTGTTGCAGTCGAAGTAGACGAGACAACGGATGTCACAAACAAAGCCCAGGTCTCTGTAATGTTGCGTTATGTCGCTAAAAGTGAGGTGACTTGTGAGGTGAGGGAGGCGTTCTTGGGATTTGATGATGTCGGTGATGACAGACAAGCACCGGCTATTGCTGATTATGTTTTGGGAGTGTTGGGGAAATACAATTGCGTTGAAAAGCTGGTAGCTCAGACTTACGACGGAGCCTCTGTGATGGCATCAGATCTTAATGAGGTGCAGGCCAAGATTAAAGAAAAGGTACCTGAAGCCAGGTTTACCCATTGTTATGCACACAAATTGAACCTGGTGCTCTCTCATTCAGCAAAATGTATGCCTGAGTGTAAAACGTTTTTTAAAACAGTTGAGGGACTTGCGATGTTTTTCAATAAGTCGACCAAGCGCACCCACCTACTGGACGATGTTGTGAAGCGACGTTTACCAAGAGCAGCGCCCACGAGATGGAGCTCAAATTCTAGACTAGTTCAGACAATCAGCATGTACCAATCTGATCTGAGTGCTGTGTTCCGGATTATGAGCGAAAATCCCGATGGTTGGGACAATGACACCCTGATGATGGCCGCCGGATATGATCTCTGGCTGTCAAAAGCATCAACCTGCTTCTTCATAATGACATATGAGGGCATTTTCAATGAAACCGATGCACTCTGTCGTGTGCTGCAGAATAAAGTAATGGACATTGGATTCTGCTGTGCACGAATCCGCAGCACAATGGGAGTTGTGGAACGCCAGAGACAAGAGTTTGACAGTTTCTATGATCGATTCGAGCAGAAATGCGTCACACTTGGCCTGACAGACAATACCCGAAGTAAACAGCCGATCAGAAATGAGAGGAAAATAATGTTTCATAACATTCTGGACAATATCAGTGTTCAAATGAAAGCTAGGTTTGATCATTTCAGTGAGCTAACTTTCCTTGGTTTGGTTGATTGCACGAAATTTTATGAAATGTCACAACATTTCGATGACACCAAACTGCAGAGCCTATCAAAATATGCAAGGTACTTTGACTTTGTTCGACTAAAGGCTGATCTTATCGGATTGTATAGTTCACAAATGGTGAGGAACGAATGCAAATCACCTGGACAGCTCCTCAGCTTTTTGGCCCAGAATGATCTGATGCAGACGGTTCCCGAGGCGACAAAGTTACTCCAGCTGGTGCTCACTATACCAGCTACAACAGCGTCCGTTGAAAGGTCGTTCTCTGCTTTGAAACGACTCAAAACATACAGTCGGAATCGGACTGACCAAGGACGACATTCATCCCTGGCAATCATCTCTATTGAGATGGAGAGACTTTTAAAACTAAAAGAAAATAAAGAGGACTTCTACAACAAAGTCACTGACATATTTGTCCAGAAGGAAAGGCGAATGGACTTCGTAAATAAACAAGTAAAGGTAAGACCACGCAATGTATTTTCATTTGTGTCGAATGAGTATGAATAGTGGAACTGCATTCGCCTATAAAACGTGAATCGAATACGTAACTTACCTGTATGCGGGTGTTGTAAAGAATGCTGATATGAAATATGAAACATACAGCCGCCTAACCAATAGTCATTGTGCAATCTGCCAATTGAATGGTGAATTTAAGCTGCCTCTATCGGGTTCATATGTGTGTAAATCTGGCTCTGACACTAGCCAGTGCCTCCCCAGCCATTGACCTCACCGCACGTCACTGCTCGGACTGTTTGTTTCTCGTTCTTAAAGTCAACAGTTGTGACGATCGCTGCCTCTTGGGAGTGATACAAAATTATGTTAATTATTCAGATCCATATATAGAGTGACGGGGGCATGGCTTTGCCCATATAAGGAATACTGGAATGGGAATCGCCGTTTTTTTTTACGATTAAATGCTCGATTAAACAGGAATCGACCAATTTTTAACGATACCAAGCTTGATCCATGTGTAGCGACTCGCTCAGAGACACAAGGAGTAGGAGGCATGCTATTTATTATCAGACTTCACACGGGTTACAAAGGGGTAACTACAACTCTCAGTCAAGACAACTGGCAGGCTGCCTAACTGACGACGCCGAAAAGGTGTAGACGGTGATGAAGACTTCAGCAGCACGACGGGATCCTACTCCAAGCAACAGCCCCGAGCCTTCGCACAGGATCCTCTTTTATCCTCCCGGCGTGGCCTCGCTCCGCCCCAGCCACGCCCCCCTTGTAGAACCTATTCGCGGGTTCCCGGGCTTACCTCACGTGCCCCCTAACACCTTTCCCTTACATCCCTTTCTCTGACTTATCACGTGACCTGCTGTCAGACAGGGCTGCTGCAACTGCAGATCCCCTTCTCTGCCAGCAACCCGTGCTATGCTAGATAGTGACCCATTCCATGTCACTACACATGCTTGATCCATGCTCGAACATTCTTTTTTAATCGCTTCAGTGATTCCTGTCGTGTGCTTTTCTGGATCTAAAGAAACGATTTGTGGATCAAAAAAGCCTACATTAGTACCGCCCCTTTTACGCTGATTGACTTCCTTCAACATTAAAATAATAATTAATTCGGTCTCGTGTTTTATTCTGCGTGGCACTCGATAATAGTTTTTACTGGCACGTTGCACAGAGCTGCCCGTGGTGCGTGGTGTACACTTGTTGATGCTTACAAAGGCGATCGCACGCTGGTCCCATGCACTTTAAAAATCGTGGTGCTTAACCTTTACTGCAGCCTTGCACCCTTTTGGTTCTCAATCGTTAAAAAATATATAATGTTAATAAATACATGGCTTGATGAAACAAAGTAGTTGTATACTTATGTGCCCGTGCTAAATTTCTTCGGTTATTTACCTTCTAAAATAATCTTACCATATTCTTGGGTCTTTCGGTAAAGCCACATAGATGTATAAAATATCTACGTGGATTTACCCAAAAGACCCAAGAATATGAATTCCTGCAGTCACGAAAGCTTTAAGTCAAGATTTAATCTGACAGGGCTGCCCACCGTGCTAGATCGGGACCAATATCATCGTGAAGTCGCACACGCCGTTAGGCAGCACTAAAGAAGAAGATGTCTCCCCAAGTTAAGAACCACTGGTCTAGATTGAAAACTGTATTTCTTTAGAACTGTTTTTTGTGTTTAGTTAATCCATCGGATGAACTCTGTCCATCCTCGCAGCGGCTTTTGGCAAGCTATCGCACGCTTTCAGATGTGCTTCTTCAGCTGTCTGGAATACCCTTCCGATATTAGGAAGCCACTGGGAGCTATGCACTTTTAAATCGTCTAAATCATCTCGTTTCTTTAGAACGGCGTTTTGTGTTTAGTTTGTCCTCCCCTCCGATTAGCACGGTTGACTACGTACGGTGTGTGAAAGAAGTTCAACATACATGCGGACTAATATTTGTGGACTAACCTGCGATTAATGAACGATAGAGTCCTCAGCAGCAGCCAGCCGTCTACCTCATATGCAGAACAACGCGATTCTCCACAACATGAGTACAATAGGAGCGCCACGGTGGCAAGATGTTTACTACCTTGTCTGGTATGCAGGAGGTCGTGGGTTCGATCTGACCCTGATTATGCATACTGTCTATTTAGAGTTTGAGTGTCTCTCTCTTTCCCCCCGTGGTCGTTTGGGTTTTTTTTCTTCAGGTCTTCCGGTTTTTCCTCTCTACATTTAGAATCAACGTGCGTTTAAGAGTATTTGGCTGCTATAAATGGCCACGTGATGATAAGCCACTTACTTAGTTGAGCTCTCATTTTTGATGGACAGGTCGCTTCTGAAAAAGAGCGACCTGGCTACAAATCATAAAACTTTTTAACTGAAAGACAAAGGTGGCTGATTGTGGTTGCTACTGGCTATGCCAACCCCCTCTTGTGTCATGCTGACTTTCATAAGATCCTCGCTAACAGCACCTGCATTTTCCCCATCAGTCTGCATTTGTGTATGTACAATAGTAAAAAGTGTGTGTGTGTATATATATCTTATTAGATGTTAGAATGTCTGTTTTTTGTTCCCCAGATATCTTCATATATGGAATGTCGGGTCATCAAACAAGAAGACGAAGATAGTCCATGCTCTGGGATGTGTCCTGACTTCACTGTTAAATATGAAGATGCTGCTGGTGAGAAAACACTTTAAAGCCCTTGGCAATAGTCAAATATGAATCATCATTGCAGGAACAACAATTGCTTCTGCTGCTGCAATTGTGATCCCAAATGAGTAATTTACAGGTATGGTGGCAAGGTGTTAACTACCTCACCTGGTATACAGGAGGTAGTGGGTTCGATCCTGACCCTGACGCCTACTATATATTTTTGGAGTTTGTATGCTCTCCCTGTGGTCACATGCATTTTTCTCCGGGTCCTCCGGTTTTCCCCTCCACATTCATTTAGAAACATGCGTTTAGAGTAATGGGCAGCTTTAAATTTCCACGTGATAAACCACTTTGTCGAGCTACCATTTGTGGCCAGGTCGCTTCTGAAAAAGTGATAAAATAAAATAAAAATTTAGTTTAACAGAATTTCGTGACCAATATTATCCATAGGGGTGCGGCATTTGGAGTGTGCGACCTTGTGCGTTAGTATAAATTTCCACGTAGACATTAATATTAATGAAGGGGGGGGGCTCTTTTGCAGTGACATCACGCATGGATGTAGCACTGTGCTGCGTAGATTTATTTTTTACCGTCACTTTCTGTAAATAAACGTCATATTTGAAGCGACTTTGCATGATAAATTATTTAATTCAACCCGACCTTCCTCTGCGTTAGTGTAAAAATCCACCCACTCGTGAATATTAATGAGGGGGGGTGGGCCTCATGTGGAGTGACGTCACACGCGGGACGGAAAGACAGACATTTCTCGGTGATTATAGTAGGTGACTAGCATGTTTTTTTCTTGTGACAAACCTCACTAATTGGTTGTGTTGGGTGGTGGCGGGTTTAATGACACATTTATATTTACACCATTTAATACATCAAAGACAAATGTTAAAGAGAAGCCACAGTGCTACTGTGGTCATGCGACTCAAACTATAGAACCACATCGTAAATCACTGTAGTCTGCGCTCCTTCAACGGAGGAGTAGGAAAACTAAGCAAACATTCTCTAGAAGCCCTCTCATGGACACCAGACCTCGGCATTGACATTCAGCTCCCCGGACACATTGTTCTGAATATTTGAAGTGTTTTTTTTGAGTAACGGTACTTGAAAGCACACATGCAGACACAGGGGTGCAATGAGCTATTTCAACGAAGGAGGTCGGGGCCTATGCATTATCCAACTGGGCCCCCCTCTTTTCTCCCGACTCACTTTTACTGAAATTGCTATGGATGTATTTTTAACCCCCGTATATAATAATATGTAGGCTCTTAACTGTATTATTTTAGTTAGACTGAGTATTGGGGTTTAGAGGAAGACAGTCTCACAGTGAGAGTATTACTAAACATATTTAAAGGTAACAATATTCACAATTAAGTTATCCTGCGTCTTGGTTTTCATGCGCACGTCAGTTAGTAAAAAACCCTGATGGTGTTCAGTCACAAACATCAGCAGTAGCGGCTACTAGATTTTACGCTGTGTGTATTTTTAGGAAATGTTATTTCATTTGTAACTGTTTTATAGGCATGTATGGTTAATTGTTGGAATGAAAAAATATATATTTTACTTGTTTATCTGTTGATTCAGGGGCCCCCCTTGTGACCAACTGGGCCCCTTTACGTCGAATAACGCTGCCACATAACCCACCCCCCCATGATTGCTCACCTGTGCAGACCCACATCAAGGCCATAACTGATCAAATATATATATATTCCCACAACAAGCAAAATGCTGACACATGCCAGGCTGTAACCGATACTATATTTACGCGGCAACTTGTGATGTCATTCATAATAGATTTTTGTGTCAGATCGATTGAGAAAAATGTGTGTCGTGCACCCTCCACCACCAGAGACAGCTTTTTTCATGGCCTTGTCTCAATAAGTTTAAAAAACATTGCATATATTATCAGAACATGTTTGTTTGCATGTTTTGTCACAAGTATGTGGTTAATGCAGACTTGATGCCTTGCAAAAGTTATCTATTTGGTGTTTGAACATCTTAATACCCAGTTTTTTTGCCAGAAGGGGTAAAACCTATTATGTTTAATCATTTGGAATACAGCAAATGACCAGTCTCCGAAGGCAGGGTATCGCTGATGAAGGGCAAGGCACGGGGCCTAGCAACAACAAGCTCAGAAGAATGCTCTCTAAAGAGCCTATTAATATTATTGTTATGCTTGTTTACCCAGGGAAGCCTCGCTGAGTCTCAAGACTCTTTTTCAGGAGGGTTCTGCTAAGTTCTACAGTAGGGGGGGGTGATGTTGTTACCGCTGCTGTGTGTGATCTCAGTTGGACATCGGGGAAAAAGGGCTTCATAGCTCATCGGATTCCTCCAGTATAAATACATATTCTGATTCAATTGCGTAATTTGCAGGTAATTCTTCAGCATTGGGATGTTTTCGCCAATACCAGTTACATTGTGTGGGTTTTGTTTTGTCATGTGCGAAAACCGGAGAACCCAGAGGAAACTGATGTAAAACAGGGGGGAGAGCTTACAAACTTCACATCTAAGATCCCCCATATAGCCTGAACAGATTGTTGGGGCAAGTGCTGTGAGCGAGCAGCTATGAAGACCACCACAGCACACAAGGGGGTGGGAGGCACAATACCATGCCCAGCAACCTTTGTCTCCCCAGTGATTATGTTTACACACCGCACCAGGTACTCATTTGAGGCTGAGTCCACCTAGGGGAGGCCTATGACCAGCTTAGATAATCGTTACCAGTGTTGGCCGTGAGCAGGAATGGATCTCGGGTCGCTAGGTTTGTAGTGTAGCGTGCCAACCGTTACACTACCGCTTCCCACAAACTCGACACACACAAACACTCGCACACACTCGCACACTCTGAAGAAGAGGTGGGAGAATGTATAAACTTCATACAGAAAGATGCCCGATTCCTGGAATTTAACCTAGGCTCTTCTTCGTCTCAGGGATCAGTGTTACCTCCTGCTTCACTCTTGCCACCAACAGTTACATGCACATAGGACAGGCATTCATAGATAATGTTTAAGGGCTGGTATAGGACAGATTCCAATTTTTTTTTTTAAACACCCATAGTTATGTGAAATCATCTGTGACCGCGCTGAACTCATCAGTGATCAAGGCTCAGGCTCGGTCAAATATGGTACCAATATGGTTGCTAATGCAAGTGCTGTTGTGATTTTCAGACGGTTAAATTGCAGGCACAATTAGCTCTTATAAAAGAGGCTTACATCCACATATATATGAGCTCTGAACAAAAAAAACGAAAATCAAGCTGGCGGTTAAAGGAAGTCAAAACACTTGCAACGAATTTGTGCTCTTGAATTTGGCTTTCCCAATGGCATCTGTGGTGGTTTAAATCTACTGCTGTAAATAAATACATAACGTGTGATTAATTGTTTGTTTTTTTAACACCCAAGACTCAAAGGGCTCATTTCGGACAATGTTGAGCATTCTTAACAGGTGGGTTTGTAACTGCCTCGTTTATTTACGTGTAAGTATTTCCACTTGTGAAAGACATTTGTGTGTGTATATATTACAGTTCTAGAATCAACGAATGTTCAAGTTGAAGAAACCAGCGAGAGGCCAGAGGAGATGGGGAATTCCTGCGGACGTGCCTACACGTCGGACCAGAATTTCATTGAGGTGGAGCTGTCGGAGGAGGACATTGCTGAAGGTGAGTCTCTCCCCTTGATCGCAGCGCTGAGAAAAAAAATGCGATCATCCCCTTTGTTTTTATTGCAACCATATTCCCAGACGTTGTGACCATTGGGAGCCGTGCCGCAAGATGAAGACGTTTTTATTACGCGAAACTTATCCCGTTGGTGTGATTAGCGTGCGTCGTGTCAAAGAACGGCCCCAAAATTAAGGCTCAATCCTCATGCGCTCCATTTAAATAGCCCTGTTCTCAAACAACCTTTTGCGACGAAGCTAAATCATTTATACGAACAAGGACTCCCGGGGTTGGACCAACCCAGGAAACAGTGGTCAGCCCTAAATACACTGCAGAAAAGGGGATTGAAATGCGGTCCCCTTATCTTGTATAGATTTATATATCAGTGCCGAATTGCAAGGTGTTTTACAACAGTTATAAAATTGTACCTTAGATAATTGTGGTTGACATAACGGATGAGGTTGTTAAAAGTGGTGATGACGCTATGGTGATAGCAGGACAGGTGGGAGTGGTTAAGGAGCGGTTTGGGTATTGTTAGTGGTTGGGGTAGTGATAGGGGTAGTGATAAGGGTGGGGGTCGTGATAGAGGTTGGGGTTGTGATAAGGGTAGTGATAGGGGTTGGGGTAGTAATAGGGGTTGGGGTAGTGATGGGGGTTGGAGTAGTGATGGGGGTTGGGGTCGTGATGGGGGTTGGGGTATGCCTGGTCATAGCTGGGGGGCAGGGAGTAGCAGTTGCAGGATTGGCTAAGGAGAGAAAATGAGTCACCAGAGCCAGACTTCGGATCACATGATTCAACACTGCCTGTACTGCTGATTTATGGGCAATTTCACTGAGATCCAGCAAGTCTATAGAATAGCTTAATAACATCCATACACACACAAATGCAAACCTAGGGTGTTACCGTTGCTGTTTCTGCTGCTTATTTTTCTCGCATCAATCTTGATTTATTTCTCGCATCAGTTAATTGAACCCTCCCATTTGCATTTTTAACCATGTGTTGCAGACGAAGCAAAATAAATGGAACTCCTGTGCGAGGAGTGCGGGAAGGGAGGAGGATGCGTCAACGCGATGAAAGACAAAGCGGAATGTGCCAGCAAGACCTCGCGAGCCTGCGGGCAGTGCGGGAAGTCGCTCGAAGGCACCACACTGCTCGTGGCGGTCACCTCCGATGGGAGAAAGCACACGTGCGAAGATTGTGGAAAGGCATTTGCAACGTGGTACACCTTAAAAAAACATTCCAGGGTACACAGCGGAGAATGGCCACACGTGTGCATCGAGTGTGGGAAGGGGTTCGCAACTCGCTTTGACTTGGAGAAGCACGCTAAAGTACACACCTGTGAGAAGCTGTACGTGTGCAAGGAGTGCGGGAAGGGCTTTGCAAGCGCGCCCATTTAGAGGCGCACTCCGTCTCGCACACGGGCGAGTGGCGGCATGTGTGCAAGGAGTGCGGCAAGGGCTTTGCGCAATGTTCAGACTGAGAGAGGCACACGAGGACGCAAACGGACGAGAAGCCGCACGTTTGCAAGGAGTGTGGCAAGGAGTTTTCACGGATCTACACTTTAAAGAGACATTCGGTAACGCACGCCCTAGAATGAAACTTTGAATCGAATTTTTGTTGGTGTTGAAAGCAATGGTGATTGTTTTTTTTATCCGCTGCTCCTGCCCCATCGTATACTCTTAAATAACATGTTTATTATTATGCGTCTTTACCATGGAGAGCCTCACTGAGTCTCAATATTTTTGAGGGATGGTCTTGCTGTTTTTTTCATAACATCCTGATTGAGTAAATTTGCAAGTCATTTGTTTTGCATCTGGATATTTATCCAATAGTTGTTATGTTTACATCGTCTCCTAGCTATGGGGAGGAAATATTGTAACCCAAAGGAATCCTATGCGGAACAGTAAAACTAAATACAAACTCCACCATAGAAAGGTGGGCAAGCCAGAGAATCGAAGCTCGGGACATGAGGCAAAATCGCTACCACTGCACAAAACCTGTGAAATGACAGTCGAGCCTACATGTGGTGTGAGTGGACAGTAATACTATATCTCGGTATGGTTTCTTCGATTTGCGTGAGTTCCCTGTTCCGCGTGGTTCATCTTTCCATTCGTAGTAAATATTAACGCTTGGTTTTGTTCATGGTTCCTTTATCAGCGCCTGTCGTTACACGTTTAAAACAAATCTAGTTTACTTTGGCTTGCAGTGCACTGTGGAATAAAGCTTCAGAAATTAATAATGTATGTATAGTGGAGGTGTCCTCCCTCCCCCCCACATACGTCAATTAGATTGATAATTTTTCTTTAATACGTAGAATTATTACCTTATTTGGTTCAGGCTTCCTTTGTTTCGTTACAATGATTTTTTTTAAAATTCTGAATAAAAATTGTTAGTTGAAAAAAACGGTAGGAAATGCAAGTTTTGTCATTAGTCCATTATACGGACTGTACGGACTGTGTGGTCAACTACGCTTTGGTTTGTACGCATAGTACGTTCCACCACACGGGAAGGCAAAGGCTCCTACTGCCCCTCCCTCACCCTCCCAGTCACCCCTCCACCCCTCACCACCTCACCTACTGCCCCTCCCTTACCCTCCCAGTCACCCCTCCACCCCTCACGACTTCATCTACTGCACCTCCCTCACTCTCCCAGTCATCCCTCAACACCTCACCACCTCACTACTCACCTATTGCCCCTCCCTGACCATCCCATTCACCCCTCAACACGCCACATGGCGGGCATAAATGCCCGTCATAATGTCCTGGCAGTGACTCAAAACGCAGACCACGATGATGTATGTGAAAACGGAATAGGGAAACACGACTTACCAACGATATCGCCTTTCAACTCCCCAACCAAACCCCTTTCTGAATTCTCGTTTCTCCACGCAAAACTGTGGACTGTGGGGGCACTATCTCTCACACACAATCGAAAGGTAAAAGATAGTACTTTCCAACGGCAGCTGTGTTAGTGGAACAAGGTGCAGTGCACGGTGTCATCTACTACCCATCAAGAGAGACCCATTGAATGGTGGCACCAAAGCATTTCACTGGCTTTATGACTTGGGTTGTTGAACGATAACCGGTAACCGTTTTCAAAATCGATCACAGGTTCCGAAAGTTGGGGAGCCATTAATCGTTTCTGGTGGGATATCTCATGGAATTTTATTAACGAAGGAATGCACTGATTTGGTGGTTACATCACAGAAGGGTCTCTAGCAAAGAAAGCTCTATAGCAGTGGATTCTCAACCCTTGTTTGGGTACTGTACCCCCCTTGTTGAATTTTTTTTCAACCGAGTGCACCCCCCCTTGCCTGACCTAATGTGGTTCTGAGAAATAAATGTGTAGGGGACTGCGAAGAGAAAGTGTTAAATTGTACAAGTTGAGTGATTGGGAACAGGTGGCCGAGAGCTGCATAAAGGAGACAGCGAAATGTACACGTTGAGATATCGTGGGGTGAAGGGCAGTGTCCAATAGGAGCGGGGCCGATAGGGTATATAAGGATTAGAGGTCGACCGAAATTCGGTTTCGCTTTCGGCACCGAAAGTTGGCAAATGGCCTCTTTCGGCATACTTTCGGTTTCGGCCGAAAGTAAATTTTTTACTTTTGGTTTTGGCCGAAAGTAAATTTTTTACTTTCGGTCTGGTTTCGGTTTCGGCCGAAACTGATATTGACTTTCGGTCATCATTCGTAAACCGAAGATCTATTTTTAGAATATAACGCTAGTGCTACATCTATCACTGCCTATCGGCTGGTCAGTCGGCGCTAGGCAATCCTATGTAATAGGCTGTAAACACACACGTCAGCAGCAGCAGCTTGGGAGCGAGGTTACAGCCGGAACCATGGTCTGCTAATGTATATACGACCGGTTAACAGACGGCAGCCTGTCTGGCTGAATGCGGAAAAACTGTTGTTTCTTAACTACAACATTCGTTTGTTTGGATATAATTACTAAGTAAGGAACACCTAAAGATTTGATATTTAGTGACTCTTACTGCAGGCTCTGAATGATTAGTTCTAGATTTCTTTTTAATTAAAGTAGCATTGCATCATGACATATTTCATAAATGTTGTGTTCGGTAACTTCGGTTATATACCTTTAGGTCTCGGTCGAAAGTGTAGTTAAAGTTTCGGCTTCGGTTTCGGCCGAAAGTGTAGTTAAACTTTCGGTTTCGGCCGAAAGTGAAGTTAAAGTTTCGGCTTCGGTTTCGGCCGAAACCAGAAATTCTATTTCGGTCAGCCTCTAATAAGGATATAAGGAGAGTGAGGCCAGCAGTCTGGGTGCTTGCCTAGGGACCTACAAGCTACAAGGTGGAAGACATCAGGGCTGACTGTTCACGGAGTGACGAGGTGGAAACCATCGGACCTGACTGATCACGGAGTTCTAAATACAATATTCTTTAGAAATAAAGACTTCACCTTTTTAAAATGGACGTCTCCAAGGAGCTTATTTAAAAATGTATAGATTATGAACATTAATATATTAACCAATTATCCATTTCGTGAGGTATTCCTAACAAGCTAGTAACTGTAGTGCTAAAGAGGAAAGAGAGGTGACGTCATCGGGAGAGGCAGGGCGATCAGGGCGCTTATTGGAGAGGAACAGAGGAGGGTGGACGCGTGCGGCATGAACCCGCGTGAAATAAAGAAAAGTGGCAACTCTCAATCTTCGTCTGATGGACTCTCTACAACTGGTGACAGCAGTGGGATAACAAGATGCCTCAATGCGGCAACAAGAAGCACACCAACAGAAATCCCAGCAAAGAAGGGGAAGAACATAACACTACTCCTAGCGCCCTGGCCGGCCGTGATCCGGATATGGCATGGTCTGTAGACGGGGTCGGAACGACTCCCCAAATCGTGAGAAGATGGCGGGGCAGCAAGGAGTGACACATCGGAGGGCCCTTGACCCCGCGAGAGGAGGTCCTTTGCGGGAGGACAGGGTGGCTGCTAACCTGGCGACGCCGCCCTTGGCGTTCACAGCGGCTACTCCTCTCGCACGAGCAGGAAGCCCTAATGCGGGGATGCCACAGGCAACAGCGACAGCCGGGGTGGTCTCCGCCCAGGATGGACCACTGGAGACGACAGTGCCAGAGACGGAGGAGCCAGCGCCACCAATGGGTGAGAGGACGGCACCACGATTGGCGGGACCCATCCTCACCGGGCCTGCAGGTCCATCGGAGGCTCCACAATCGCCACCGATAGTGCCGAGACCATAAAGAGATGAGGAAGAGTCCCCTCAGGAGGGGGGGGGGAATCACTCTTCGTGGGGCCGACACCGCTAGCCATTGGAACAGAAATGGCACGAAATCCCCTAGGTCACGGTAATGGCCACTGAGCTTTAGCGGTAGAGCATTGGAACTGCATGGGGAGGCACTGGGACAATAGTCATAGGCGCGCGGCAGCCGTGGCCCAGGCTGCGACTTTTATTCCACCTATGAGATTGATCCGACGACGAAGATAGGGCACCGATCGACCATGCAGGTTAGGCCACGTTGAGAAGTTTGTGGCTAAAGGAGGGGACTGGGGAGCATTTGTTCGCAGAATCGAGGTGGCGTATACTTATTTTGAATGGATGGAGCCTGAGGCACTGAAGGCTCTCCCCACGATACTTAGCGATGATGCTTTAATAATTTATTCCTCCATCCCGGCAAAAAAAGAGAACACCCTGAAAGCCGCTTATCAAGAGATGGCTGGGATTGTTGACCCGCCATCCAGAGCAAAAAGACGATTCCAAAACCATCAGTGCGAAGAAGGGTAATCAGCCTTGGCCTATAGAAGCGCTCTCATGGCTCTGGTACAGGCTGCTTTCCCGGACCTGGAGGCGGGGGCCCTGGACTTTATGTTTGCTGACCATATGTTAACTCTTGCACAGGCCTAAACAATAGTTTTTCCAGTCACTTATGAGGACGAGCAGACCTCCTTGTGGATTGCGAAGAGTATACATGCCCATGAGGAGGTCATGAGGCCACAACGTGTGGTCGCGCAAACAGTGGACCCATCATCCCATCAAGGACTGGAGAAGGTTTGGAAAAAAGGGAACATGGGAGAAGATGCCGAACCAGAAATGGATGCGGTGCTGCTCGGGGAGGAGATGTTGGCAGCTGTGAGGGGGACATACCGGGGACCGGCGCAGAAAACTTCTCATTTAATGCCCCGGGGACTTGGAGCATCCAGCCAGATCTGGGATCTGGTGACCTTCCATCGATGTGGTCACACGGGCCAGATCGCACATGGATGTTGCACCGATCCTGCCCAACTGGGGCTGCCCTCACTCCAACAGCCGTTCTCCAGCCCTGCGTACAACCAGCAGGTGAGTCGCGGCACCCCAGACACCTCGGCAGTTCCCATTGCAGACCTCACACACACAACGACTGTCAATCAACCTGCTACTTCTCGACGATCACAGCCACCCTCGTACATATGCAATTTTTCACCATAACGGTGGCTGGCTTCGGGTAGGCTCGGTGGGGGAAATTGAGGTCTGGATGCTGGTAGATACGGGAGCGTGGGCGATTATTATCTCCCTGCACGTTTTTTATATGCTTCCCCACCGGGCCCCAGTGCTTGCATCCCATACAATTATCATACGTAGTGGAAAATGGGGGACGCATTGGGGATTTTTGGGCAGCTGGAGACCCAAATTCAGGTGGGAGAACTGGTCATATCTGACCCTGTACTTGTCTCCAGCACGTTGACGGTTCCCGTTTGCTGGGAACAGACTATTTGAACCAGCTCCCTATAAAAATTGTGACGGACCAAGGGTGCATTGAAATGCTGTCAGGGGAACGTCTATATTTCTTATGTCTGGACAATGGTACCCGGACGTCAGCTCAGGTGCAAGCAGTTGCGAAAGAGCTGCTCACGGTATCTCCAGCAGCTCAAATCTGAATTCCCCTTCGATATCACACACCTCTGGTGATGGCTCGACCAGACACACCCATATTGGTGTCACCGGTGATGGCGATCATGGATCAACATGCCTTAGCAGGAGCGGACACCATCCTATGTCGCTTCCAAAAATTGTTTATTCAAGGTTTAAACAAGGCAACTATGCCTGTCACAATACATGGGGGAACAGTTTTAGCACATGTGTAATAAAGGTCGTTGAGGCGACTTCTGGAATCCGGTCTTTTATTAAACTTGCATTACAGCTTTCCTTCACGCTGCTGACAGGCAGCGTGAGAGGGATAGAGAGAAAGACGCGCCGCCACGTGGCAACCCGGAGCCCCGCTCACGCGTGTCCCCTTCCTCTGTTCGTTCCCGTTCTAACCACGTGTCGTTCGTCTCCACCCCTATTTAATACCCGGGTCACGTGGTACATTTCCACCAATCCTGGTTAGCCTTCATGGAATATTCCAGGCTCCCTCGTAGGCTCCCGGGACCACGCCCCTGACTCATCTCCCCATTGGCTGTGGCCAAAGCCAGCAGAACCAATCCTCTACTTACAGCTGTCACCTTACCATTATGTCAGGGCCACGCCCCTAGGCTTCCCCCCATTGGCTATAGACCAGGACCGGCAGAGCCAATCATCATGACGAGTTGTGATACGTCAGTGAGCCGGATATATCCTCACATTACACATGTACAGCCCATGCCAGCAAGGGGCAGAGGATTCTAGGCAGGAAAAATGGTGGATGGAACTGATCCTGCAAATGAGGAGGCCATGCTCTGGCTGGAAGCCATGACAGCGCATGATGATAACTTGTCCGAGTTACAGCGTCAGGCTCTTCGGACATTGTTAAAATATTTTGAAGATATTTTTAATTTGTGGCACACTCATTTAATGTCCCATCACATAAAGACAGGAAACGCACCACCCATCCGCCAGAATCAATATCGCATGGGGCCGGGCCGAAACGTCGTGAGAATTATTTTATGTTTTATTTTTATTATTGTATTACTTCCCTTCTACGTGACTTTACCGAAAGAACCAAGAAGATGAATCCCTGCAGTCACGAAAGCTTTAAATCGAAATTTAAAACTCAAGCCTTGCAAATTCCACCTTGCACAGCCCTCTGTCAAAAATTTGCTGCACATAGCTCAACAGGGGTAGCTATTGATCCCGTGTTAGGGAATGGCCCACTCCCGTATCCTTACCAGATATTAGAAGATGTATAGGCTGTTTCCTATTACCACAGATTCGTACAGTATTTCACGGCTATTGTAAAACTCCTACACGTACTTGCAGCTAAGCGGCAGAAATTCCAATGGGGTACTGAAGAGGACAGGGCTTTTAAAAATCTGCGGACACTCCTTACGGAGGTGCCACCATTGGCATACCCAGATCTTTCATTGCCCTTGATGCTGGATACGGATGCGAGCGATGTAGGGATTGGGGCATCCTATTCCAGGTGCAGTCGGGCAGAGAGGTGGTAATTGCATATGGCAGCCAGGTACTGTCATTGGCCGAACAATGCTACCGCCTAATGAGGAGAGAACTCCTGGCCATTGTGCATTTTGTACGGCAATTTTCGCCCATACCTATGCTGACCAAAATTTGCTATGCAAACTGACCACTCACCACTGCAATACTCGTTATGTATCGACCAAACATCTGGTCAATGGCCAGGGGGATTGACAGGCTGCAAGAATTGTCCTATGAGGTGGTCCATAAAAAGGGGGTGCGCCACACCATTGCGGATGCGTTATTGCGTCTGCGTTTTTCCATTGTTGCAATGTCCTGGTGAAATCGTTCGCCATGCTCATCGCTCACTGCTCCGCAGTTCGGTGGGGAAAAATCTAGATGAGTGCAAAAAAATTATCTTTAGTGACGTGTTCTAACCAAGGCTTTTGTATGCCTTGAAGAGGTTTTCCACCAACTCCCTGTATTTGACTGTTTTTTTGTTTCCGAGAAAATTTGTTGCCACTAACTGGAAGGCTTTCCATGCCATCTTTTCCTTACCACGCAGTGCACTTTCAAATGCATCATCTCAAAAAGTTCACGAATCTGAGGACTAACAAAGACACATTCCTTTATCTTAGCTTTACTTTACCTTGGAGATTTTCCACGGAGGTACTTGAAAGCTGCTTGTGTTTTGTCCATGGCTTTGACAAAGTTCTTCATCAGACCCAGCTTGATCTGTAAGGGTGGTAACAAAATCTTCCTTGATTCAAAAAGTGGTGGATACTGAACACTTTTCCTCCCAGGCTCCAATGCCTGTCGGAGTGGCCAATCTATCTTGATGTAGTGGGAAAATTCAGGTGGGAGAACTGGTCATATCTGACCCTGTACTTGTCTCCAGCACGTTGACGGTTCCCGTTTGCTGGGAACAGACTATTTGAACCAGCTCCCTATAAAAATTGTGACGGACCAAGGGTGCATTGAAATGCTGTCAGGGGAACGTCTATATTTCTTATGTCTGGACAATGGTACCCGGACGTCAGCTCAGGTGCAAGCAGTTGCGAAAGAGCTGCTCACGGTATCTCCAGCAGCTCAAATCTGAATTCCCCTTCGATATCACACACCTCTGGTGATGGCTCGACCAGACACAACCATATTGGTGTCACCGGTGATGGCGATCATGGATCGACATGCCTTAGCAGGAGCGGACACCATCCTATGTCGCTTCCAAAAATTGTTTATACGGGTACGCAAGCTTGTGTTGCAATCGAAACGTCGTAGTATGCTATTATTTAATTTATTATTTTATCTTTATACGTGACTTTACCGAAAGAACCAAAGAATAATTCCTGCAGTCACGAAAGCTCCAAAATTAAGATTGAACCACTTCTACGGGGAAGTTTTAAGCTTATCTTTTTATCTCTCTCTGTTTTTTTTCTCTCTCTGCCTGTGTCCTCTCTTTGGAATTTTCACACTTAAATTCTAACTTAGCAATCTTTGAAATACATAATCAACCAGGCTATGCGTTAATTGTGTGTTGACCGACTCTCTGTGTTGCATTACATTACATTTCGATATTTTGCTAGGTTATTTAATTTTAGTGTGTCTTTCTCCTAATTTTCAAGCTTGCGTACCGTACCACGTCGTCGTCCACTCATTAACATGCTAATTTTTTCTTTGCCCCCTCCCTCTCTCCGCCCCCGCCCCCTCTCTATATTTAAGGCCTCGTCACAGAGACGATCTCTCTCTCTTTGTGCCGATATGTGTTCTCTCTCTGTGTATCTTTGTGATATCTGTCTGCTTATATGTCTGTCTATAGTTTTCTGGTTAGATTTTTGTTGCTATTTCTTTTATACCTGATGATGATTGCTTGTGTTGCAATCGAAACGTCGTAGTATGCTATTATTTATTTTATTATTTTATCTTTATGCGTGACTTTACCGAAAGAACCAAAGAATAATTCCTGCAGTCACGAAAGCTCCAAAATTAAGATTAAAAGAAAACACGTTTCGGTCGCAACACAAGCATCCGTCTTCAGGTGAGAAATGATCTCCTGTTGTGGCTTTATTAAGGCACGTGAGGGGGGGGGGGAAGGGGGGGAAAGGGGGGGGGGAGTTTTGTCGTGTTGTGGCTGCAGGAGTTCACGGGGGAGAGGGGTGGAGGGTTTGTGGCGTGCAGGGATGGGTGGGGCTGGAGAAATTAGCATGTCAATGAGCTTGAATTGTACTTTTGTGAACAAAGCATAACTTCTGCTATGTTTGAGGTGAAGTTACTTGTGCATCACAAAAGCGCAGTATAACCACTATGCTCTTTGGTTCTTTCGGTAAAGTCACGTAGTTAATGACTTTACCGAAAGAACCAAAGAGTGTGGATTCCTGCAGTCACAAAAGCTTCAAATCAAGATTATAACCATTATGGTTAAGAAAGCCAAATACCTTTATTTTGGCTGCAAAATTGGAGATCAGGACAAGATGTGGGCAGAACCAACACGTCGGCGGTGGTGGATCATTGTTTCAACGCTGTGGGCACACATGCCATTGTTTTCTCCGAGACCAAGGTACTCTGCAAACCTTCGGGCCTCTATCAAAGGTTTGTTCATGAAGCCATCCCGATATATAAACATAGCCGTAACTTCAACCGAGAAGATGGATACAAATTGAGCAATCATTGGAAGGATGTTATTAACCAGGTAAAACCTTAACTGCTTTATGGTGTTGCCTTCATAACCGCATCTCCAGTTTTTTCAGCCTCCCACTCCCAGCCCCGCCCACTTCCCCCTCCCCCCGGCATTTTGCCTTGCTCGTCTTCTAATCCCTCTAGCAGCGCTCCACCCCCCGCCACACTACACCCCCCTCTCTATCTCTCCTTCCTTACTCCTCCCCCCTCTCTTACCTATATAGCCTCTTGTCACGGCAGCCCTTTTGCCCACTTCAGCAATTGTTTCTTGCTGTGGTTGTCCCACCTGATGACGGACGCTTGTGTTGCGCCCGAAACGTGATTTAATTTATTGTATTTTATACCTACGTGACTTTACCGAAAGAACCAAAGAGTATGGATCCCTGCAGTCACGAAAACTTCAAATCTAGATTTTCAGTTTACTTTCGGTTTCGGCCGAAATCAGAAATTCAGTTTCGGTCGGACTCTAGGTTCGACCAGGGGCGGTTTCTTCATTAGAGCGATTGGGCGACGCACCACCAATGTCATTCAACCACAGAGTCACGCTAGCCGTCACTGTGCCTCTGGATATAGTCCAATCAGCGTCATGCTACGTTCTGTGGAGTACCGCCTCTTTTTGGGCGATTTCCCTCCAGCTGAGAATCGCCCCGAGTGGCCCCATAGACTTACATTCAAAGATGTTTTTTTTCGAACGGGAGCGCTGCAATGCATTCTCTATGGCTTCCGGGAGGGCTCGCCCAACGTGCTAACGTCATCATACGTGCTTACGTCATCATACGTAAGCACGTTTCATCCAATAATATAATTTGTCGCCACCTAGTGGAATCTTTAATAAAATAAACTTGAGTGGTTTGTTTTAATAGTGAGTATAGAAACAAACAAGATGTATTGTAAGAGTCACTTTATTTTTCATTAATATTAAAGAAGTGAAGTTGCCTTTACATGCTTAAGCTGTTAATTTATCCATTGCATGGGTGGACCTTATCCTTATCAATCATCCAGACATTTGCCCCCCCTGAGAGATTTTGCAGGAGCCGCCACTGGGTTCGACTGAACCCCATTGGCGCCTTGTGAGGTCGAAGACAGACGGACCACTTTATGCGGTCCTTGTTAGGCAAATATCCATGTATCTCCATTCCTCGCCCCAGGCAGTGTGTGGGTATCCCTCATAATCGGAGTCTTTGGGTTGTGGTAATGCCCACACTGGGCGTCGGGACTACAGATGCACGCGGGTGGAGGCTTGAAGATGTTCTCAATCTGCCTTTCTTTCCACTGTAGTTGATCCTTCACTGTCTTTTCTTTTTCTCTTCTGCTAATCAGTGTCTTTGCGCTCTTCATTCACTCCAATTTACGGAAAGATCCAATCATAATGATATAGGTGATGACATCTTATGATAGTAAATTATGGATGACTGTATTTATACTGCTTGTCCACAAGCTGTAAAGCAACACATCAAAAACTGGACAATACTTATTTACTTAGATCATAATTACTAATTTTATGTAAGTATGTTAAATATTGATTAATAATCCGAATTTTTATTTTATTCAGAATCAATAAAAAAAATACAGATATATCGTATCCTGTGACTGTTCGTTATAAAGTATATATTTTTTTGTATTGCCAATTTCTTTTTCAAGAGAGAATGAAGCTTTTAAAAACAAGTTAGGAGTCGAAAGGATGAATTGGGAACTATTGCAGGAACAAAATAACTGTAATTCATTCCAAGAGACTTCTCTACAATAGTTTAATTCAAAATGTCGCAAACAAAATGTAAAAGAAATTGTGTGAATTTGAAAGCAACATATTTTTTTTGTTTTATATTTTTATTATTTTATTATTTCCCTTCTACGTGACTTTACCGAAAGAACCAAGAATATGAATCTCTGCAGTCACTAAAGCTTTAAATCAGCAATATACATCAACTCGCATCTTATAATTTAAAAATATATATTTAAAAAAATATTTTATTAAATGTGGCCAAATGGGTTGAGATATGCACATGCTGTTTGTTCTTATGTACAAAAGGACATTCCCAAACGTATCTTGCCCATGCGTTTAAAAGCCACTGGCTTCAACAAATTATTCCAGTCGGGACAATAGCACCACATACCACAATATGCCCCATCGTGTGCTCAAAATAGGCCGCTCTGGGTTATCTTAATTATTAAGCGAGCAGAATTAGAATCTTTTTTTAGACTAAAAATTGTATTCATACTTGAGGAATCCGATGAGCTGTGAAGCTCTTTTTCACAGATGGCCAGCAGCAGAGCAAATACATTTCAACATTTGCAATGTTAACATATGCATTCTTACTCTTTGGTTCTTTCGGTAAAGTCAAGTAGGTTTATTTTATTTTATACCTACGTGACTTTACCGAAATAACCAAAGAGTATGCATTCCTGCAGCCACGAAAGCTTCAAATCAAGATATGCATTCTTGTTTGGCATAACCTAAAGCATTTAACAAATGCCAAATTGATGGAGAGACCCAGGAGTGTGGCGTGGTAGCCCGACCTCGTCCATGGACTATTTCTGTACAGCGGCATGAAATGTAATCGCATTTAGACTCCATATAACTCCACATTGCGCTGTCACATCAAGCACCTTACGCTGCATCGTGTCGCTGAGATGCGACGTACGTTGTTGCTGCATCTTGTCGCTTGCTGGGCAGTGAATAGGGCGAGGGGGGGAGGTCACTTGCAGACAGAGACACAGCAGCCTCGGCTGTTGCAGACACGGGGAAGGACACGGAGACACGGACAACGCAGAGACAGAGACACGGAGAGCGGGGACAGAGACACGGAGAGCGGGGACAGAGACACGGCCGAGCGTAGCGTCAGTCGCGTGTTGTCTGTCTCCGCAGCCGGCAGGGCGCGTCCACGGTGAGCCGAGTGGGGCCCGCGGACACGGCGCCGACTCGAGGCCGACTCGCAGTCTCCGTGTAGACGTCGTCGTAGGGAGAGAGACACACAGAGACACACACAGACACACACAGTGAGACACACAGAGACAGACACAGAGACATACACAGACACAGTGACACACACAGACACAGTGACACACACAGACACAGAGACATACACAGACACAGAGACACACACAGTGAGACACACAGACACAGAGACATACACAGACACAGAGACATACACAGACACAGTGACACACACAGACACAGTGACACACACAGACACAGTGACACACACATACACACACAGACACAGTGACACACACAGAGACAGACACAGTGACACACACAGACACAGTGACACACACAGAGACAGACACAGTGAGACACACAGTGAGACACACAGAGACACACACAGTGACAGACACAGTGAGAGACACAGTGAGACACAGAGACACAGACACAGTGACACACACAGACACAGTGACACACACAGACACACACAGACACACACAGACACAGAGACACACACAGAGACACACACAGTGACAGACACAGAGACACACACAGTGACACAGTGACACACACAGTGACACACACAGAGACACACACAGTGACAGACACAGTGAGACACAGAGACACAGACACAGTGACACACACAGACACACACAGACACAGTGACACACACAGACACACACAGACACAAAGACACACACAGAGACACACACAGTGACAGACACAGACACACACAGTGACACAGTGACACACACAGTGACACACACAGAGACACACACAGTGACAGACACAGTGAGACACAGAGACACAGACACAGTGACACACACAGACACACACAGACACAGAGACACACACAGAGACACACACAGTGACAGACACAGAGACACACACAGTGACACAGTGACACACACAGTGACACACACAGAGACACACACAGTGACAGACACAGTGAGACACAGACACAGTGACACACACAGACACACACAGACACAGTGACACACACAGACACACACAGACACACACACAGAGACACACACAGTGACAGACACAGAGACACACACAGTGACACAGTGACACACACAGTGACACACACAGAGACACACACAGTGACAGACACAGTGAGACACAGACACAGTGACACACACAGACACACACAGACACAGTGACACACACAGACACACACAGACACACACACAGAGACACACACAGTGACAGACACAGAGACACACACAGTGACACAGTGACACACACAGTGACACACACAGAGACACACACAGTGACAGACACAGTGAGACACAGAGACACAGACACAGTGACACACACAGACACAGTGACACACACAGACACACACAGACACAGAGACACACACAGAGACACACACAGTGACAGACACAGTGACACACACAGTGACACACACAGACACAGAGACAGACACAGTGACACACACAGACACAGTGACACACACAGTGACAGACACAGTGACACACACACACAGTGACACACACAGACACACACAGTAACACACAGTGACACACACAGACACGTACAGAGACACACACAGTGACACACAGAGACACACACAGTGACAGACACAGTGACACACACAGACACAGTGACACACACAGTGACACACAGACACAGTGACACACAGACACGTACAGAGACACAGAGACAGATACAGTAACACACAGACACGTACAGAGACGGAGAGACACACAGAGAGACACAGTAACACACAGACACGTACAGAGACATAGAGACAAACAGTAACACACACAGACACGTAAAGAGACATAGAGAGACACAGTAACACACAGACACGTACAGAGACACAGTAATACACACAGACACGTACAGAGACACAGAGAGAGAGAAACAGTAACACACAGACGCGTACAGAGACAGAGAGAGACACAGTAATACACATAGACAAGTACAGAGACAATAATACACACAGACACGTACAGAGACACCTAGAGAGACAAACAGTAATACACAGACACGTACAGAGACAGTAATACACAGACACGTACAGAGAAACACAGATACATAAACACACTAATACAGATGTAATACAGAAACGTACAGAGATCCGTAGACATTCATACAGAGGGACAGAAACAGTGAGACGGAGAGAGACGAGTATACGAACTCTTGAGATTTGTAGATAGAAAGATACACAGATAAGACATAGCCACAGATACAGACAGAGATACACAAAGGGGCCGTCCATAAATGACGTCACGCACCCAAGGGGGGGGGGGTGTCAGCCACATTAAATACGCACTACAATGACAATAGTTTAAAGCGATTGAAGCATGTTTTATTTTTGGGGGAGGGGGGGCAGAGAGACAGATGTACATGGATTGACTGGAATACCGGAACGGAAATCGACGTTTTTTTAAAACGATTCAATGCTCGATTAAACGGGAATCGACGGGGTTTTAACGATACCAAGCTTAATCCATGCTTGATCCATGCTCGAACATTTTTGGAATCGCTACAGTGATTCCTGCGGCGTGCTTTTCTGGGTCTAAAGAGACGATTTGTGGATCAAAAAAGCCCATATTAGTAACGCCCCTTTGACGCTGATTGGCTTGCTTCAACATTAACATAATTAATCATTAATTCGGTCGCGTGTTTTATTCTGCGTGGTGCTCGATAAAAATGTTCACTGGCACGTTGAACAGAGCTGCCCCCGGCCGCGTCGCGATCCCCGGCCCCGTTGCGATCCCCGGCCCCCGACCAGGACGGTGGAGCCCGGACGGGACGGCATCACTCGCCTGGTCCCGGCGGGTTCCAGGTGGAGTTGGCTGTCTCCGGCTCCGTGCTGCATCCTCTCGCCACATGCCCCTCTCAGCGCGGTGTTATAGAGGCTGCTGCCAGCGGCGTGGCGGCTGGTCGAGCCCCTGGTATCTCTGCTCCGCCAGCCCCCGGATCGCCGCGTAGACCTCCTGCAGCAATGGCTCCGGCTCAGACGCTGGAGGTCCGATCCCAGCTGCCACATAGGCAGCCTGCGGCGACGGTGCAGGTTCGGCGATTGGCGTCGCTGGTCCCGGTAGCGCCGCGGTAATTGCCCGGCTGCTCCCCTCCGCCGCGCCAGCCACCTGGCCCACGGGTAGTGCCCGGCCCATGACCTGTTAATGAGCTTGTAGGATCCGGGCGGCCCACAGCGAGGTACGTTCTTCTGGCGTCACCACCGGCATTACAATGCCGGCGCGGCAAGCGTAGGCAATGTGGTGCTCAACCACGAGGTTCTCGAGCGCCTCGTCAGCCAGGTGAGGGAAAGCCCTCCTCTCCAACACGAGCAGCGCACCCCTGTAGGCTAAAGGGGGCTCTCTATCCCCCCGCTGGTGGTCCTGGAACCGTCTACAGGCGCCCTCAGCTGGGCAGTAGATCTCCCCCAAAGCCTCGTAGGCTGCCTGTAGCGTGGTCTTGGAAGGTGTAAGAGGCGAGCGCATCGTCATCTAGAACGGATGGCAATGCTCATAGCGCCTCTTCATCCGACCATTCGAGAGCGTGGATGGCAGCCTCGAATCGGCGGACGAACGCCTCCCAATCACCTCCCTCGGCCACGAATTTTTCGAATGGCCCCAGCCGGCGCGCCCTGCTCCCCCTGTTGGGTGTTTAGCCCTGGCGGCTTTGGCCGGAGCAGCGGCGGTGGCTGGCGTGACGAGGCTGGTTGCGGCTCATGCCCGGCTGGCTGATCGGCCTCCAGGTCCCGTGGCGCCTCCTCCCGTAGTACGAGTGGGAGAGGGGGTCCCGGCGCCGGCGGGCCCCCCATAGGGAGCGGACGCAGTAGCTCCTGGAGTGCCTTCTCCACGCAGGCCATGCGGTCCTCCATGGGGTCCTCCATGGGGTTCTCCATGGGGTCCGGGCCCCCTGCTGCTGCTCCTGGTAGCAGGCGCCCTTGTTGCCCTGGACGTGGAGGATCCACGGCCCCTGCTTCCTCTTCTGTTGACTCTCTTCCGCGGAGGTTCTTCCTTGTAGCCATTGTCGATCCCACCGCTGCCACCAGATGTAAAGGAGAGCCGACACAAGGTTGCAGGGGGTTCGTCTTTTATTCCTTCTCCCAGTCCACACTCGTCCCCAGCCTTCTCGATACGGTTCCCACCAATTCTCCCTCTTTTTCCCGCCCGTTCTCTCTTATATCTCCTCACCTGCTCCTTCCCCTGTCACCGTCCCACTCCCCCTTCCTTTTGGTGGGAATCCTTCCCCTGACATCCCTTACACTGCACCTTTTGGCGTCCTCTGGTCTGACACCGTTTTGAGACTAGGCTCAAAAGAAAGCTGTCTCTGGTGTGGACCAATCAGTTTCAAAGACAATGCATATATTATCAGAGTATGTTTTTTGTTTGCATTATGACCACAAGTATTGTGGTTAATGCAGACATGATTCCTTGTGAAAGGTTTCAGTTTGGTGTTTTAACATCTCAACACCTGTTTTGTTGCCAGAAAAAAAGGGGAAAATATATTCTCACAAGTTCAACATGCATGCGTACTAATATTTGTGGACTAATCTGCGATTAATGAACGATAGCAGTCCTCAGCAGCAGCCAGGCGTCTGCCTCATATGCAAAACAAGACGATTCCCTACAACATGAGTACAATAGGAACGCCACGGTGGCAAGACGTTAACTACCTCGTCTGGTATGCAGGAGGTCTTGGGTTCGATCCCAATCCTGACAATGCATGCTGTCTATTTAGAGTTTGTGTCTCTCTCTTTCCCCCCGTGGTCGTTTGGGTTTTTTTCTTCGGGTCTTCCGGTTTTTCCTCTTTACATTTAGAATCTTTATATTTAGAATCAACGTGCGTTTAAGGGTATTTGGCTGCTATAAATTTCCACGTGATGATAAGCCACTTACTTGAGCTATCATTTTTGATAGGTCGCTTCTGAAAAAGAGCGATCTGGCTACAAATCATAAAACTATCTAGATTTGAAGCTTTTGTGACTGCAGGAATCCATACTGTCTGGTTCTTTTGGTAAAGTCACGTAGGTATAAAATAAAATTAAAATAAATCACGACGTTTCGATTGCAACATAAGCAATCATCATCAGGTGGGAAAACCACAGCAATAATTTTTTTTGCTGAAGTGGGAGAGAGATGCCGTGGTAAGAGGTTATATAGGTAAGAGAGGGGGGAGGGGGAAGTGAGGGGGGTAGGGGGAGGGGAGCGTTGCGTGGACGCTAGGAGAGGGACGTGATGCTGGACGGGGGGGGGGGGTAGTGAGCGGGACTGGAAGTGGGAGGCTGAGAGAGCTGGGGATGTGCAGGAGGAGGGGGTAGCAACAACCACGCCACTGCAGCAACAATGCCAATGCAGCAGCAATGCCAAACGCTGGGGATGCAATTAACTCGGCAAAATAGACTAGTGCCCGGCAAATATGATGGAACAACCATAAACAGTTAATGTTTTACCTGGTTAATAACATCCTTCCAATAATTGCTCAATTTGTATCCATCTTCTTGGTTGAAGTTATCTCTATGTTTATATATCTGGATGGCTTCATGAACAAACCTTTAATAGTAGCCCAAAGGTTTGCAGAGTACCTTGGTCTCGGAAAAAACAATATCATGAGAGCCCACAGTGTTATAGCAATGGTCAGCTACGGCAGAGGAATTGGTTCTGCCGTGTTTCAGATCTGCCTTGTGCTCGCGGACATGGTCCGAGAAATGTCGTTTTGTTTCCCCAATGTAACAGCCACCGTAGGTGCAACTTAGTTTGTAGACTCCAGGATATTGCATGTCAGGAATGACATCCTTCACAGATGGGATTAGATCACGGATTTTGTGTATTGTACTGAATCGGACCTGGATCTTGTGTTTGTTTAAGATTTTGGAAATCTTTTGGTCACACCTGCTATGTATGGTAACGTGATGGTTTTGATCGGCTTCTCAGGGGGTTTCTCCATGGTTGGAAAAACAGCTTTGCGAATAATGCGGTCTGAGCACCCATTCATCTTGAGGGCCTGGTGTATGTGTTCCAGCTAACTGGCTAGGTGGTGTTGGTTGGAAATGCAATGGGCCCTATGGTGTAGTGTTTTGATGATGGAATTCTTCTGTTCCGGATGGTGGTGGGAATCAGGTTTCAGATAGAAATCTGTGTGGGTGGCTTTCCTGTAGACAGAGTGTCCCAATGAGCCATCAAGTCTCTTCTCAAATAAAACATCCAGGAAGGGTAGCTTACCATTCTTCTCTACTTCCATGGTGAATTTAATGGATGGTCTATTTTAACTGAGAGACAAAAGGTGGCCGATTGTGGTTGCTGCTAGCTATGCCACCCCCTCTTGTGTCGTGCCGACTTTCATAAGATCCTCGCTAACAGCACCTGCATTTGCCCCATCAGTCTGCATTTGCGCATGTACAATAGTAAACGTGTGTGTGTATATACATCTAATTAGATCTTAGAATGTCTGTTTTTTGTTCCTCAGATGTCCTCATATATGGAATGTCCGGTCATCAAACAAGAAGACAAAGAGAGTGCATGCTCTGGGATGTGTCCTGACTTGACTGTTAAATACGAAGATGCTGCTGGTGAGAAAACACTTTAAAGCCCTTGGCAATAGTCAAAATATGAATCATCATTGCAGGAACAACAATTGCTGCTGCTGCAATTGTGATCCCAAATGAGTAATTTGCAGGAATAGTGGCAAGGTGTTAACTACCTCACCTGGTATACAGGAAGGTAGTGGGTTCGATCCTGACCCTGACGCCTACTATATATTTTTGGAGTTTGCGTGTTCTCCCCGTGGTCACATGCATTTTTCTCCGGGTCCTCTGATTTTCCCTCCACATTTCAAAACATGCGTTCAGAGTATTTGGTTGCTATAAATTTTCACGTGATAAACCACTTCGTTGAGCTACCATTTGTAGCCAGGTTGCTTCTGAAAATATGGTATATAGCTCAGTGGACCTTACCCGGTAAAATAAAAAAGCATTTATGTATTTTGATAATTGGTTTTTTACCCTTCTATCTGGCAACAAACTGACACCTTTTTTTTACAAGGAGTTATGTTTACATAGACCACAATACCTGCGGTCATAATGCAAACAAAAACATAACTCTGATAATGTGCACTGTCCTTGAAGTTGATTGGTCCACACCCGAGACAGCTTGCCTTAGAGCCTAGTCTCACATGGCTTGGACCAGATGACGCCAAAAGGCGCACAACTCAAAGACAATGCACCATCAGAGTATGAGAGCTCGGGGTAAGCATTTACATCATTGGAACCTCATTTGCCAGTAAAAAATATGATAATTGTTTTTTTACCCTTCTATCTGGCAACAAAACTGACACCTATTTTATTACAAGGAGTCATGTTTACATAGACCACAATACCTGCGGTCATAATGCAAACAAAAAAATAACTCTGATAATGTGCACTGTCCTTGAAGTTGATTGGTCCACACCCGAGACAGCTTTCCTTAGAGCCTAGTCTCACATGGGTTGGACCAGATGACGCCAAAAGTCGCACAACTCAAAGACAATGCACCATCAGAGTATGAGAGCTCGGTGTAAGAATTTACACCATTGGAACCTCATTTGCTAGTAGAAAATATAATTGGTTTTTTACCCTTCTATCTGGCAACAAAACTGACACCTTTTTTTACAAGGAGTCATGTTTACATAGACCACAATACCTGCGGTCATAATGCAAACAAAAAACATAACTCTGATAATGTGCACTGTCCTTGAAGTTGATTGGTCCACACCCGAGACAGCTTTCCTTAGAGCCTAGTCTCACATGGGTTGGACCAGATGACGCCAAAAGGCGCACAACTCAAAGACAATGCACCATCAGGGTGCGCCTTTTGGCCTCATCTGGTCCAACCCATGTGATCACGTAAATATAACTAGCATGGTTTTTTTAAAAGTGACAAACCTTACTAATTGGTTGTGTCGGGTGGTGGTGGGTTTAATGACACATTCATATTTGCACCATTTAACCCAAATAAAACCTCTTATAGTTTTATACATCAAAGACAAATGTTAAAGAGAAGCCACAGTGCTACTGTGGTCATGCGACTAAAACTATGAACCACATCGTAAATCACTGTTGTCTGCACTCCTTCAACGGAGGAGTGGAAAACTAAGCAAACATTCTCTAGAAGCCCTCTCATGGACACCAGACCTCGGCATTGACATTCAGCTCCCCGGACACATTGCCAGATGCAGTCATAGAATTGCAGAAGCAAAGTGACATGAATTGTCTAACTATATTTTGCTCAAACACCAGAGATTTTTTTCCTGAATAAGCAGACGATCCTTTCTGTTCTGAATAGTTGAAGTGTCTTTTTTGAGTAACGGTACTTGAAAGCACACATGCAGACAGACACGGGTGCAACAAACTATTTCAACAGAGGAGGGGGGGGGCTACGCAAGATCCAACTGTGGACCCCCTCCTTTCTCCTGACTCATTTTTACTGAAATTGCTACGGATGGTTTTTAACCCTGTGTATAATAATATGTAGGCTCTAACTACATTATTGTGTATTGAGATTTAGATGAAGACAGTCTGCAAGTGAGAGTATTACTAAAAATATTTAAAGGTAACAATATTCACAATTAAGTTATCCTGCGTCTTGGTTTTCATGCACATGTTAGTTAGTAAGAAACCCTGATGGTGTTCAGTCACAAACATCAGCAGTAGCGGCTACTAGATTTTATGCCGTGTGTATTTTTCGGAAATATTTTTTCATTTGTAACTATGTTTTATAGACATTTATGGTTAATTGTTGGAATGAAAAAAAATATATTTTACTTGTTTATCTGTTGATTCGGGGGCCCCCCTTGTGACCAACTGGGACCCTTTGCGTCGAATAACGCTGCCACATAATCCCCCCCCCCCCCCATGATTGCTCACCTGTGCAGACCCACATCAAGGCCATAACTGATCAAAAATATATAAATATATATTCCCACAACAAGCAAAATGCTGACACACGCCAGGGTTGTAACCGATACAATATTTACGCGACAACTCGTGATGTCATTCATAATAGATTTTTGGGTCAGATCGCTTGATAAAAATGTGTGTCGTGCACCCTCCAACACCTGAGACAGCCAATTAATAATGCTATCACGTGGTTGAACAAACGAGCCAGCTTGTTACTGCTTCAGCACCCCACCGGTGTGTGGTTGGAGAGCGATCCACACAGACATTGAACAGTTGGCTACGGACCTTTTAGCTGGTAGTGACAGCCAGCATCATCGGGCAGTTGCCAAAATTGGCAACTGATACATGTGAACTGTTCTCCAACACACCAGTGTGCAGAAGCAGTAATAAAATGGCACGTTTGTTCATCCGCACAGCACTCGACAACAACTGTGATGAACAGGCTGGAGGTTAAAGTGAAATCGTCGCCGTTGTTCAGATTCTAGATTTGAAGCTTTCGTGACTGCAAGGATTCATACTCTTAGGTTTTTCGGTAAAGTCACGTAGGGAAAAAATAAATAATTTTAAATAATAGAAATAATAATAGAAATAAAATAATAAATCACGACACAAGTCTCCGTCATCAGGTGGGACCGTCACAGCTAGATTCACTTATTATTTCTATTATTTTGAATTTTTTACCTACGTGACTTTACCGAAAACCTAAGAGTATGTTGTTCAGATTACCTAAAACAACAAAATCGGTCCAGACCAGCACATGAGTTTAACGGTTCTGCTTTTAAATACATATTTGCTACTTCACTGGAATTGAAAGCACAAGTCCAACTATGGCAACACATTGATAATTCCAATTATTAATGGGTGGAACGTCCCTCTCCAACCTGTGTGGCTGCCTTTTTATGTAATAGAATAGTTGCCCATCAAAGTCCGTGGTGTATTTTCTAAATTACAGCTCTAGATCTGAATATCGTTAAGGTTGAAGAAGGCAGCGATTATTCAGAGGGGACAGCGGATTTCCACGATGGACGTCCGGCCACTCCAGAACTGAACTTGACCACCAAGGTGGAGGTGTGGGCGGACGACGTAAAAAAATTCATCCAGGTGGAGTTGTTGGAGGAGGACACTGGTCAAGGTGATTCTCCGTTTGAGTGCATCGTCGACCAACGTGCATAATGTGCAGCCTGTACACACGATCCACTCGCACCAAATGCGCACCGCACTAATTGCACACAAACACACAAAAACTTTCACTACTCTTCCCGCCGACTGGACAGCGCGTACATGAAGAATGCTCTCTAAAGAGCCTATTAATATTATTTTTGTTATGCTTGTTTACCCAGGAAAGCCTCGCTGAGTCTCAAGACTCTTTTACAGGAGGGTTGTGCTAAGTTCTACAGTAGGGGGGGGATGATGTTGTTACTGCTGCTGTGTGTGATCTCAGTTGGACATTGGTGAAAAAGGGCTTCATAGCTGATCGGATTCCTCCAGTATAAATACATATTTAGATTCAATTGTGTAATTTTCAGGTACATTTTTCAGCATTGGGATGTTTTGGCCAATACCAGTTGCATTGTGTGGGTTTTGTTTTGTCATGTGCGAAAACCGGAGCTCTAGATCTGCCACCAACAGTTACTTGCACGTAGGACAGGCATTCATAGAGAATGTTTAGAGCTGGTATAGGACAGATTCCAATTTTTTTTTTAAATACCCATAGCCAGGTGAAGTCATCTGTGACCGCGCTGAACTCATCAGTGATCAAGGCTCAGGCTCGGTCAAATATGGCACCAATATGGTTGCTAATGGAAGTGCTGTTGTGTTTTTCAGACGGTTAAATTGCAGGCACAATTAGCTCTTATAAAAGAGGCTTACATCCACATATATATGAGCTCTGAACAAAAAAAAACGAGAATCAAGCTGGCAACGAATTTGTGCTCTTGAATTTGGCTTTCTAAATGGCATCTGTGCTGGTTTAAATCTACTGCTGTAAATAAATACATGACGTGTGATTAATTGTTTTTTTTAACACCCAAGACTCAAAGGGCTCTTCTTGGACAATGTTTATCATTCTTAACAGGAGGGTTTGTAACTGCCTCGTATATTTACATGTAAGTATTTCCACTTGTGAAAGACATTTGTGTGGGTATTTTACAGTTCTAGAGTCAACGACGGTTCAAGTTGAAGAAACCAGTGAGAGGCCAGAGGAGATGGGGAATTCCTGCGGACGTGCTGACACGTCGGACCGGAATTTCATTGAGGTGGAGCTGTCGGAGGAGGACATTGCTGAAGGTGAGTCTTTACCCTTGATCGCATCGTTGAGAAAAAAAATGCGATCATCCCCTATTGTTTTTATTGCAACCATATGCCCAGACGTTGCGACCATTGGGAGCCGTGCCACAAGACGAAGACGTTTTTCTTACGCAAAACTTATCCCGTCAGTGTGATTAGCGTGCTTCGTGTCAAAGAACGGTTCCAAAATTAAGGCTCATTCCTCGTGCGCTCCATTTAGATAGCCCTGTTCTCAAACAACCTTTGGTGACGAAGCTAAATCATTTATAAGAACAAGGACTCCTGTGGTTGGACCAACCCAGGAAACAGTGGTCAGCCCTAAATACACTGCAGAAAAGGGGATGGAAATGTGGTCCCCTTATCTTATGTAGATTTATATAGCAGTGCCATAATGCAAGGTGTTTTACAACAGTTGTAAAATTGTACCTTAGATGATAGTGGTTGACATAAAGGATGAGGTTGTTAAAAGTGGTGATGGAGCTATGGTGCCAGCAGGACAGGTGGGAGTGGTTAAGGAGTGGTTGGGGTAGTGATTTGGGTTAGTGATAGGGGTGGGGGTAGTGATAGAGGTTGGGGTAATGGCAATGGTAGTGATAGGGGTTGGTGCAGTGATGCGGGTTGGGGTAGTGATGGGGGTTGGGGTAGTGATGGGGGTTGGGGTAGGCCTGGACATAGCTGGGGGTCAGGGAGTAGCAGTCGCAGGATTGGCTAGGGAGAGGAAATGAGTCACCAGAGCCAGACTTCGGATCACATGATCCAACACTGCCCGTACCGCTGATTCATGGGAAATATCACCGAGATCCAGCAAGCCTCCAATGATGCTATAGATTAGCTTAATAACCTCCATATACAAGCAAATGCAAACCTAAGGTGTTACCATTGCTGTTTCTGCTGCTTATTTTTCTCGCATCACTTAGTTGAACCCTCCCATTTGCATTTTTAACCATGTCTGGCATACGAAGCAAAGGAAATGGAACTCCTGTGTGAGGAGTGCGGGAAGGGAGGAGGATGCGTCAACGCGATGAAAGACAAAGCGGAATGTGCCAGCAAGACCTCGCGAGCCTGCGGGCAGTGCGGGAAGTCGCTCGAAGGCACCACACTGCTCGTGGCGGTCGCCGCCGATGGGAGAAAGCACACGTGCGAAGAGTGTGGGAAGGCATTTGCAACGCGGTACACCTTAAAAAAACATTCCAGGATACACAGCGGAGAGTGGCCACACGTGTGTATCGAGTGTGGGAAGGGGTTCGCAACTCGCTTTGACTTGGAGAAGCACGCTAAAGTACACACCGGTGAGAAGCCACACTTGTGCAAAGAGTGCGGGAAGGGCTTTGCACATCGCTACAATTTGGAAACGCACTCCATATCGCACACCGGCGAGTGGCCGCACGTGTGCAAGGAGTGCGGGAAGGGCTTTAGGCAGCGTTCCGACTTGGAGACGCACACAAGGACGCACACCGGTGAGAAGCCGTACGTGTGCAAGGAGTGCGGCAAGGGCTTTGCGAGACGCGCCCACTTAGAGGCGCACTTCATCTCGCACACGGGCAAGTGGCGGCATGTGTGCAAGGAGTGCGGTAAGGGCTTCGCACAGCGGTCCGATTTGGACAGGCACATGAGAACGCACACGGGCGAGTGGCCCTTTGTGTGCAAGGAGTGCGGCAAGGGATTTGCGCAATGTTCAGACTTGGAGAGGCACACGAGGACGCACACGGGCGAGAAACCACACGTTTGCAAGGAGTGCGGCAAGGAGTTTTCACGGATCTACACTTTAAAGAGACATTCGGTAACGCACGCCCAAGAATGAAATTTGAAATCAATTTTTGTTGATGTTTAAAGCAATGGTGATTGTTTTTTTTTTATCCAATGCTCCTGCCCCATTGTATACTCTTAAAGAACGTATGTTTAATTATTATGCGTCTTTACCCTGGAGAGCCTCACTGAGTCTCAATATTTTGAGGGATGGTCGTGCCGTTTTTTTCATAACAGGGAGTGATTTTTCTCATCCTGATTGAGTCAATTTGCAAGTCATTTGTATTGAATCTGAATATTTATCCAATAGCTGTTACGCTTATATAGTTTCCTAGCTATGGGGAGGAAATATTGTAACCCAAAGGAATCCTATGCGTAACAGTAAAACAAAATACAAACTCCACCTAAAGAAAGGTGGGCAAGCCAGGGACTCGAAGCTCGGGACATGAGGCACAATCACGACCGCTGCACCAAACCTGTGTAATGACAGTCGAGCCGACATGTGGTGTGAGTGGACTAGTGGCCATGGGAGGTAATGACAAGAGTTTCAGCTGTGAGTGCGAAGCGACTGGTGGCTACGGGAATGATCGATAAGGGAGTGCGGTCAGGTGACGGAAGAGGACGGTAAAATTTGCTGGTGGAGCGATTGTCCAGTCAGCGAGACGGTTCGGGAAGGGGGGCTTGGCCTTGGTCTGTAAATATGGAGATTGCGCGGGAGACTTGGCTGTTGCAGTAGGATTTCCACCTGTCCAAGTGAACGTGTCTTCAATAAAGAACCATCTCAAGAATGATGTGTTAAGTTGTCTTTACACCTGTATTCAGAATGTAATGGTCCTTGCTCTTAGAGTGCAGGTAACTCTTATATGCATGTACGTTATACTTCATTCGCACCGTACATAGCCAACTGTGCTAATTGCAGGTGCGGAGGAAGGACAACACACTAAACACAAAAAGCAGTTCTAAAGAAATTAGTTTTCAATCTAGATTTAAAAGTGCATAGCTCCAGTGGCTTCCTAATATCAGAAGGAAGAGCGTTCCAGACGACCGCAGTAGCGCCTCTGAAACCGTGCGATGTGGTGGCCATCTTTGTTCGATGAGAAGACAAAAGGTGCTGCAAGGATGACCGGAGTTCACATGCTGGTTTATGCTCCTTTTCAAGTTTCATTTATTTGGTATCGCCCTGTGAGCCATGCGGCTCTTAAGTCGGGTGCAACCGCAACAAACAAAATATGAACACAGAACATATTAAAGCGACGACGCGTAACAGAAACATCCTGGAATAAACCAGCAAATATTAAAAAAAAAAGTATTTAAACGTTGTGTGCAAAAATCCCAATGTGGTGCAAGTCAACAATAAAAACCATAACACAATTTAGATTAACCATATGTTTTCGAATCACCAAAATAAAGCTATAAAACAATGTAACAACAGTAATCATAGGAAGTGTGATTCAAATTAAACAATAAACGATATACATAACACGTACGACCAAACTTGCAGCCATAGCTGGCAGCATGACAATCCCAGTGTATGATGTGTGAGTGAGTAAGCCTATGATGAGTGAGTCGGTGTATGATGTGTAAGTCAGTGTCGGCCCCCTCTGCTCGCGCCTCTCGCCCACCACAAACGGCCCCGCCAGCCGCTGGGAGCGCGCGCCTCAGGCGGCCATTTTTTTTTCTTCACGGCCTCCCCCCCCCCCGGCCCCGTCGGCTCCCTCGGCTCCCCCGGCCCCCTCACAAACGGCCCCGCAAGGTATTGTTCTTCATTTGTGACAAACACTTTGTGTGTAATGAGTCTGTGTTGGGGTCCCCCAAATATATGTCGTGGGTAGGGACTGGAAAGTTGGTACTTATAACGAAACAATGTATAACGGGGAATTTTCCCCCATGAGAATTATGTGGGGAGGGGGGGGGGATAGGGACTGTGAAAGCTTCAAAATCATTGCCCATGCAGCGCAAAATGGGGCAATTTCTACCATAAGAAACAATGGAATAAGATTGGGATAGGGACCGTAACTTAGGGACATGTGTTTCATACCTAGCAACCAAGATATGTACTGTACATTTACAGTACCTGTACTATACTGTACAACAATGTACACATTTATAACCTTTTAACAGCATTTACACTTAACAAACGATTGAAAACCATTTTTATGAGCATTACGAAGCAGCCCTGTACACTTTAAACGTTGTCCTTTTTAATAGGAAACGTATCCGTGACATTTTAAACCAATGACCCAAACCTAAAACCATTTTTAGTGTAAAAAAAGCACAGAATCTTAAGCATAATTTTATAACGATTTTACCCTATCCTGTCTCTGGTGTGGACCAATCAGTTTCAAAGACTGCATATATTATCAGAGTATTTTTTTGGCATTCTGACCACAAGTATTGTGGTTAATGCAGACATGATTTCTTGTAAAAGGTTTCAGTTTGGTGTTTTAACAACTTTACACCTGTTTTGTTGCCAGAAAAAAGGGGAAAACCTATTCTCAGGTTTTACCTTAACCTACAATTCTTATTATCTTACCTTGAGGAGTGGATGAGTTGTGCTTGATTGGCTTGATTGGAGGTGGAGTGAGAGGATTAGGCCAATTACAATGAGCACTCGCTACGCACAACATGAGAGAACACAATGGGACTGAGAAGCAGCAGACAGGATGCTGAGGATAGATGCTAAGAGAGCGGTGCACGCGCAAAATGTGAATTATACATTTTATATACTAAGCTAAACTGAGTCAAAACCACATTGTTGGGGGGAAATTTGACGTTAGGTTCCTCAAAACTGATGTGAGTACGAAACAACATATCGCACCGACGTTTATCAGGAACTCCCTGTATCCAGATTTTTTTAAAATTTGGCCCCTAGCGCACGAGCATGCATACCTGCTTCACCACCGTCATCCATGCCTAGCTATAGCAACAAGCAAATATTGTCACCAATATCATAACCTGGTAAGCCAGGTGATTACCCAAAAACTATCAGCCATTATCCCTCCTTCATATTGATTAAGTGAACGCCCTTATAACGGCTAAGCCCCCCATCTTTCAGGCCATGATCCCAAAGGAACAGGTTCTGGATATGAGCAGGTTATTAGGTGGCCTCCATAGGACGTGTCGGTTTACTGGGGTGCGACGGTGGCAAGATGTTTAATTACCCCGCCTGGTGACCTGCGGTGACGTCATAGCCGAGTGACCAGCACTGAACGAACCTCTCTAACCACTACTGTAAATCAACAACCCCATTTGTTCACTACACATTTTTTTTCTCTTTAGCCGATTTCTTTCTTTCTTAGCTCCAGGAGCTAAGGTGGGGGGAGGGGGTTGCTTGTTTTTTTACCTTTTGGGGCAATTTATAAACTTTCCAGGGCCTTTAGTGCGCAACTCGAGTCTGCCCTCATAGCTATGCTAGCGGGTTTCCTCCCTGTAACCTTGTGCTTCATGGCGGACAGGTCCCTAGGGAAATAGTTCAATAATTCCCTGTCAATGGGAGACCAGAGACCTTCCTGGGAGGAACGCGGGAACTTCTACAAAGCCTCCTGGACAAGACAGAGGAAAACACCGCCCTTTTCCGGGTTCTCAATCAGAAATTAAGTGGGGTGAGTGGGAAGGTGAAGAGGCAGGAAGCCATGATGATGACCCTTCAATCCTCACTTGAGGAACGGGGTGATGAGGTCAAGTCGCACGAAGCTAGACTGCTGGAGCTCGAAGAAGCCTATAACAAGCTAGATTTAAGGGGAGGGAGCGTCAACTTAAAGCCTTTGGCCTCCCGGAGGGAGCAGAGGGCAGTGCTGCCCAAGAAGCCCTCATCTACATTCAGAAGCATTTTTGCCGATGCTCAAAAAACCTAGAATCTCCTGGTATGCAGCCTGTTAAGTCTGAATGGATAGCGCAGGTTTAGCAGGTTGGAAGGAGAGGTGGAGAGGACCTGATGGAGTCTAGCAACGTAAGGCTTCGCCCCCTGATGATCTTGCTTGCAATATGTCATGGTACCTCCGAGGTGCTGTAGACAGCGAGGGCAGCGGGAAGAAAGGGCATTCTACTGAAGGCCAACCGAGCTGTCAGACCTGGTCGATCCTGTGCAGGCCAACTACTAAACCTCACACAGCACATCGAAGATGGCTACCAACAGAAGATGATCACCGGCACACCGTTTATTGATCTATTTGCTGCATATGAGACTGGTCAACGCCAACATTTCATCCACAAGCTGTACCTCATGACTGGCGACCCAGACCTTAACCAGACCATGTGTAGCCTGCTAGAGAACAGACGCTTCTACGTGGAAATAAACGGGCAGAAAAGTAGATGGTGTTCCAAAAAGAACGGCTTGCCACAAGGCAGTGTGCTCCCCCCACTTTTATTCAATATTTACACCAACGATCAGGCACTTCCTGCTGAATGTCAGCGGTTCATCGATATGCTGATGACCTCTGTATCACCACACACCAGAGGAATTTCGAGAACACAGAGAAGATTCTGGAGAGGGCACTGCACGAGATGTCAAGATACTACCTGAATAATCATCTTAAACCCAACCCAAGTAAACCCCAAATCTGTGCCTTCCACCTGAGAAACTGGGATGCAGAGTGACACCTAAATGTCACCTGGAGAGACCAGAGCCTCGAGCACTGGAGTCAGCCAGTGTACCTCGGGGTAACACTGGATCATATACTCAGCTACAAAAAGCGCACTTTAAATACCATAGCCAAGGTCAACACACGAAACAACATTCCCACGCAAATTCAAAGTGGGGAGCACATATATCCACTCTACGCACCACTCCTTAGCAATTTGTTTCTTTGTGGCTGAATATGCATGCTCTACCTGAGGACGCTCAACCCACCGTAAACATGTCGACTCCGCCCTAAATGACACATGCACAATCGTAACAGGGTGCCTGAGAACCACCCCTGTTCCCTGCCTATATGCACTATCTCATATAGTGCCCCTTAACATCAGGAGGAGGGTAGCAGGTGACCACGACTGGCAAATCGTAGAATGGGACATCCATCATCCGATATATGGCCATCAGCCACACACTGTCGTCTCTTATCGAGAAAAAAGCATCTTGTGCTCCACTGTACCACTGACCACATCACCATAATCTGATAGAACTTCCCTCTAGCAAAAAGAATTGGAAAAAACCAAGTGACAAAACTTCTGAATGGAGCTAGTGAGGAATCATCCCCAGTGAGGAACTCGCATCTGGCTCCAATTCCAAATGGCTCACGGCAGAGCCTAAACAGACTGAGAGTGGGTTTTGGCAGATGCAACTCTCTCATAAATTCATGGGGCTTCTGCGCAACCGAACAATGTGCATGTGTCCTTAGGGCGGTGCACCCATCCCGGGTGCACTGTTCCACGGCCGAGGCCACAGATAGGGGTACTCGGCTGTGAAAGGGGGCCTGCCTTCCCTGAGGACCACTGGAAAAATGGCTTTCTTTTCCCTTCCTGCCTTCACACCTCGGTCATCGCACTCGGAGTTGGATTGAGTGTGGTCGGTGTCCTTTCCTTAACCTCTTTTGACCCCTAGTTCCATTCATTCCCCCTTGCCCCCCACCTCGTTTCCTCACAAGGGGTTCCCTGGGTGTCGTCTGCTCTTGTTTCGGTGCGTCTCTCCCTATCTTTATTCCCTCTATCCCTTTTTTCCTCTCTTTTCCTCCTCATGTTCTCCTTCTTCAATTCCACACCCCCCCCCCCCCTTCCTCTGTTCCCTCCCCCCATTCTTTTA